CATAAAAAGGAACCAAAACAGCCATCGAAAATTACAGACCTATTTCTATTCTTAATGTATTGAGCAAGTTGATGGAGAGGGGTGCACATAAGCATTTATATCTGATTGTTCGGCACATTCCTTCACAACAGCATGGATTCGTTCGTGGTTGCTCAACCAGGACTAATTTATCAATTTTTTCTAATGATGTTCTTCGAGGTATGGATGATGGTTTTCAGATTGATACCATATATACAGACTTTTGATCGCGTGGATCACATTATTCTATTGCGTAAACTCCAGGAGCTAGGAATTTATGGAAACGTTCTTAGGTGGATAGAGTCCTACGTAACCGATCTCAAGCTGTTGTAATAGCTGGACATCGCTCTGATTTCGTGGATGTCCCATCTGGAGTCCCTCAAGGGTCAATATTGGGTCCGTTACTGTATGCATCATACTTGTATGATATATTAGACTTTTAAATTTTCCGAATTTCTCATGTATGCGGACGACACTAAAATTTACGCATATATTAAGTCTGAGAAAGATGCACACCAACTTCAGAAAGACTTGAACCAGCTTTGTTTCTTCTATCATGATAACCGTATTAGTGTTAATATAACAAAATGTTATCAAATAAGCTTCACTCGTAAAAGACACCAAATTAAATATCGATATAAATTAGATAACATACCTTTGGAACGCATCTACCAAACCAAAGATCTTGGTGTTATTTTTGATTCCAAGTTGCTTATGTTAAATCATGTCACTACAATGGTTTTGCAACCATTGTAGTGGCGTATAAAAATTTAGGATTTGTTCTAAGAGTGTCCCGTCCTTTCTCAGATTCTGAATGCATTAAAATTTTGTATTATTCTTATATAAGAAGTGTTTTGGAGTATTGTTGTAATGTCTGTAATCCGCCTTATTTGTCTTATATAGAGAATATAGAGCAAATACAATGTAAATTTATTAAGGCGTTAAATTATCGTACTCAACATAAAAAAAGCAGTTATGAGGAATCTTGCTATCACCATAACTTATTGCAATTAAAGGACCGACGTACACTTCTACAAATTTTGTTTCTACACGACATCTGTAGTAATAAAATTGATAGTCCCGAATTGACATTTCAATTCCTACAATTCAATGCTCTTTCGAAGCGTACCAGACACACATCCCTATTTCATGTCCCTTTAAGTCGCTCTAAATATGCTCAAAATTCTGTCATTAGTCGTACACTTAACTGCTACAACAAAAACTTTTCAACTCTAGATATTTTCCACGACAGTAAAGCTTACATAAAAAAAGAAATAATCTCAATTTTAAGAAATAGCAAGTAACTAAATACACACACACACACACACACACACACGCACACGCACACGCACACGCACACGCACACGCACACGCACACGCACACGCACACGCACTCGCACTCGCACTCGCACTCGCACTCGCACTCACGCACGCACGCACGCACGCACGCACGCACGCACACACACACACACACACACACACACACACACACACACACAAAATATTTACAAAATATTTACAAAACAAAACACTAGTAGATGTACATATATGCACTGTATTTTGTAAATTGCGTAAAGGCGTAATGACTACTCTTTAAAAATAACCCTGTATAATATTATTTCCACACAGTTGTAGTGATACGTTAGAAGATTTGTTTTTTTATAAAGTAAGAACCTGTAATTGGCAGTAGAAAATGTAAATACTTACTAATTTTATAATGTTACAAAATGCTGTTGGTTTTGTTACAATAAATTTAAAAAAATGAATTAGGGTAGATTCACTTCTAGGCAGAAATTTTCGTCATACTTTAGTGTGTGGAAATCAATGTGCAAAACCACTACGTCAATCATATAATATATATAAACTCTGATAATCAAAAAGCACTGCTAGCGCTGAGATCAAACTTAGTGAACTCGAGGCTAGTTGGGGACTGCGTGAACCGTCTAAACGCTTGAGGATGTAACAACAGGTTCGTTTTAAGATAGGTTCCGTGTCACGCGGGAATAAATAAATAAAATAAATAAAAATAAACTGCGCATTCTGGTAAGAACCCTGACTGGACACTGTTGTCTTAAAAAGCACATGGCCATCCTGGGACTAAGCAAATCAAGGATGAAGGACAAGTAACACCTCTGCACATCCGTTAATGTGCTAACGTAACACTTCTGGGAAACTATCTACTTCACCCAGAAGAAGTGAAATTGCTCACGGCTAAGCAACACCTATTCGTTGAATAGGTACATAGAGCTTAGTAGTGAATTATAGGAGCGATCACAATAGATCTTTTACGCAGTGATACTGATCTTTCTAGATTTACTTAAGGTATCGTATTGTTTGAAAATTTTGTCAGAATTTAGGAACTTTTCATCTGCTTTAATAACAGTTAGATCCAGTTTTTATTTTATTTATTTTTATTTAAAAACTTACATGTAACACCTTAAGCTAAAGTGTACATATGGCGGACTTAATGCCATGTGGCATTCTCCAATTTTTACCAGCCCGATCCCGAAGAAAGCAACTATTATTTGTATACGAAGCTGTAGGTGAGATACCAACTGATCATAAAGAATTGTTTGAAATGAACGTTTTTTTACCCTGTGATTATTACAATAAAAAGTGCCTTGGTTACTTGACTTAAACCATCAAAATTCTATGATACGTGTTCATTTTTACACAAAATGAAAATAGTTCCAGAAAGGTCAAAAGCCTGTGTTAATTTGCAAATCAGTTGAAGAGATGGGCATAATGTGATTTGTCTAGTTGTCAATTGGTTCAGGAACTTATGAGCTTGAACCCATTATTTAAAAATCTTCAATCAGCAGAGCCACATAAAGTTCTCAGGCTTATTAAAATAATGATTGGCAGGATATTTTTACCTAATGTGTTCTAGACAGCACTTCGTATCTTGCTGACTATACCTGTACTATAACTCGTTAAACGTAAACGACAGTGGCGCATTGAAACAATTGCCGCCAGTAGGCTATTAAAATTATGCCGCCCCTACGAACTTCTACAAGTCGGTACCCTTGCTCACATTGATTCTCATTGATATTTGGTTTATAAACCACTTCTTTAAATTGCAGATTTAATCAATATTGATTGAACTTAAGTTTCATTGAACTCTTCCAAATGGCCTTGCTAGGAACAAGGCTTCTTAGAAGGCCATTATATATCAGTCATTTAACACTAAGGTTTAATAAATAGCGATTAAATCTATACTTATAATAAATCTGTAGAGAGGTCAATTCTGTACATGAAATATATTTCCAAAATAACTATCAGGGGGTGATTACTGATCGAAACTGATGCCAAAAATGCAAACAGTAAAATTTTTGTCCGTCTGTCTGTATGTTCGTTATAGAAACAAAAACTACTCGACGGATTTTAACGAAACTTGGTACAATCATTGTTCATACTCCTGGGCAGGTTATAGTATACTTTTCATCACGTTACGATCAATAGGAGCAGAGCAATGAAGGGAAATGTTGGGGAAACGGGAGAAATTACTCCATTTTTTAAGCTTCCGTTGCGTGTGCGGCCTTAATGGTTAAAGCTACATAGAAATCATGTATAACGGAAATGTTATCCTTAAAATTATATAAAAAAAATCCCACGACAGCATATGTCTATCTTTTATGGTTTACTCACAATAACACCTGTAACTCCCGATAGGTTAGCAGTTCGGAGCTTTCTGATTACATTTGTCCTATTCTTACGTTTATAACACTCTCACTCATATCTAATTAAAAAAGTTAACATTATTATCTATTCAATAAAAAAAGAATCATAGAAATCGGTATAGAAACACCAAAGTTATACATGAAATACGCTAATAAGCCATCGCGCGTGAATACTGAATCATGCTATAAGGATTATTTTTGTGTAACGGTCGCCGCGCTCGTCGCGGCTCGCGGCGGGAGGTATAAAAAGGCGGGGGGTCCGAGTGCCAGCTCTGCGCCCTCCTTTCTGCCAAGGAGGGTCGCGTTCGTATACGGCTTAGAGATCTCTAGTCAGATCGTTAAGCCATTTCCTAAAAAGGTTGGGTTTAGTGGGTAAAAGTCACCACATAACCACGCAGCCGGCTGCGTGGTATGCTATGAGCATTCCCAACCTCCCTCCCCCGCTTTCCGGAGGGTTGCCCATATTTATCCGTATACGGCTTAGAGATCTCTCGTCAGATCGGTAAGCCAATACATATAGGCGGTGTTTAGTGCGTAAAAGTCTCCACATAACCACGCAGCCGGCTGCGTGGTATGCTATGAGCATTCACCGCCTTCCTCCCCCCGCTTTCCGGAGGATTGCCCATATTTGCTTCGGGCGCAAAAAGAAAGTGCGAGCTTCATACAATATTTGGCTGTTGATGCGAATGGACATGGATGGAAACAATAATTGATTTTAATAAAGCGTGTTCATCAGCGCGACTTTTAGTCTACTCTTACGTTTAATAATTTATTTTTAGATTTCTTTGGTTGTTATTTTATAAAATATATATTAGTTATTTTGGTAGTGTTTAAATATTTCTTAGTATTAGCTTAATTATAAATTAAACTTTTTTTATTTAGCTGTAGTTTTAAATAGGTACCTAGGTGTCAAATAGGTTATTTCATTCTACTAGACGTAGTTTAGGTACCTATTTATATATTTTTAAGAATTTAATTCTGGATTTAAGGATTTATTTAGAATCCGTTTTATGATTTAAGTAGGCATTTAGATTTTTTAAGTGTATGGTAGCTATAGTTAGGACCTCTAACGTAGATTATTTTGATAGGTAACTGAATGCCGTCGATTAAATATAAAATACACAATGCCACCTAAAAAACGATTATCTTTGTGTCGAAATTAGAGAGAAGCTAAGAGAATGAGAAATGTGCGTTCTCAAGGATCGGCAGAGGAAAGAGCACATCGGTTAAACTCTATGAGAATTAGTGCCACATCTCTCGAGAGCAACTTCTCGAGCCAATGAAAGCTCTCCAGAAAGAGAGATGCGATTAGCAGCTGACAGAGCAAGACGAGCTACATCACGGGCGTCTCAAAGTTCTTCTCAACGAGAGCTAAGGCTTACCATTGACCGAGAACAACATGTTTTATCCAGAGAAGCTGAAACTGCTTCACAACTAGAATTGCGGCTCACAGCTGACCGCGAACGGCATACATTATCTCGCGAGTCCGAAACCTACACTGAGAGGGAATTAAGTCTCACAGCTGACTGCGAACGGCATACATTATCTCGCAGGTCCGAAACCTACACTGAGAGGGAATTACGTCTCACAACTGACTGCGAACGGCATACATTATCTCGCGTGTCCGAAACCTACACTGAGAGGGAATTACGTCTCACAGCTGACTGCGAACGGCATACATTATCTTGCGGGTCCGAAACCTACACTGAGAGGGAATTACGTCTCACAACTGACTGCAAACGGCATACATTATCTCGCGGGTCCGAAACCTACACTGAGAGGGACTTACGTCTCGCAGCTGATCGCGAACAGCATGTACTATCCCGTGAGTCCGAAACCTACACTGAGAGGGAATTACGTCTCACAAGTGACCGCGAACGGTATACATTATCTCGCGAGTCCGAAACCTACACTGAGAGGGAATTACGTCTCACAGCTGATAGCGAACGTCATATTTTAACTCGAGAATCTGAAACTTTTACTCATTATGAAGACCGTTTGACAAGTGATAGGGTGCACCATAATATTATTCGATCTCTTGAAGAGGAACATGAGCATGAACAACGACTAGAGTCGGGACGCGAATATTACAATTCTTTGAGACAAGAATGATTAATAAGTTTGTCTAATGAAAGATTAAGAATTGAAAATATTCGGTCTCTTGAAACGGACGAACAGCGAGAGACTCGTCTTACTGTAGACAGATTTCGACATAATCTTAGATGTACACATAGAAGATCAATCTACAAATTCGGTGGCGTGGTCCGACAAATATAAAAGTGGGTTTGCTTATAACCTCACAATTGATTACAGATCATCTTTTGTAATAGGCGATATGAACGTAGTATGTTCTTTTTGTAACGCTTCAAAGTGGAGTAAGGAGTCGGCTGGTTTCTGTTGTTCTGGAGGTAAAATAAATTTGCCTTCGTTCGAAGATCCACCGGAACCTTTGAAGTCACTACTTTTAGGGGAACATGTGCAATCTAAACAGTTCTTAGACAATATTCGCACTTATAATAGTGCGTTTCAAATGACATCCTTTGGTGCTCAACAAATCTCAGAAGGTCCCTTCATGCCTACTTTTAAGATACAAGGTCAGGTTTACCATTTGATAGGATCCCTTTTGTCTGAAGACCAACCTAAGTTTCTTCAAATATATTTTGTATCCGACTACAACGAACAGTCGAATATAAGAAATCAATATTTTCCGAATTTAAATACTGAACTTATTTCACAACTTCAGATCATGTTGCATCAGGTTAATTCGTATTGTGACGGCCCAATATTATTATTAATAATTAAATTCGATATAAAGGGGCGTCAAAAATAGTCTTAAAAGATATATATTAAACAATAAAATTACATTAATAACCATAAAGTTAATATAAATACATTTTAGACATTAGACCAATAACATAGTAAATTAAAGGCAAAATATTGTCTTCCATAATAAATAAATTTATTAAAAACTTGAAAAAAATATTTAAAATAAGATAAATAATAGAAATTCAAGTCGAAAATATTATAAAAATAAAGATAAATAACATTTATAAGATAATTAGAAAATTTGTTAAAAATTGTCTAAGTCTTGGAAGGAGTTCACGTATAAAAGAAAATTTTCCTAAGTTATGGAAGGTGTTCATGTATAGATGTCTTGTATGGAGGAGCTGTCGGAGATACATACCTGCAGTTGTACATATATATAGGGTGGTCGGGAGCCCGACTGCCTGAAGTACTGTAGCACAATGACTAGTCCTATATTAGGAACTTATGATAATAAACTCAGTGATACAAAAGCAATACTATAGAAGGTCTCTACGATGAATATGCATTACATTAGTAGGGTCGTAGGTTCGAGCCCTATATATTAATGACTTATGAAAGTAAGGTCTACAAATAGAAGTTCGAATATGCATTACAATAAGTTCGAACCCTATATATGAATGACTTATGAAAGTAAGGTCTATGATACAAAAGCAATACTATTGAAGGTCTCCTTGATGCATAAGCATTGTATAGGGTGGTCGGTTGACCGACTGCTCCTAGTACTGTAGCAAAATGACTAGTCCTTATTAGGGACTTGAAAAGGAATATTATGGTGGCGTGTATGCTGTTTCACGAGCAATTGGTCCGAGGTAAACTTGGACTCGATAGATATATCATCTTAGTGCTGGTGGTAAGCGGGTTTGTTGTAGCAATACGGCTTTCCCGTGGACATCGCACACCCATACCGTTTGTGGGCGGCGTAGTAGCGCATAGCGATGCGTCGTCTATCTTTCGGATTGGGATGAGTGTGCTACCAAACCACTTTTAAGTGTAACCAGCATACTGAACTTCATGTCTTAGTGCATTAGCGCTATGATACGTGGAGTTTTGTCCACTGGCGTCTTAGTAGCATGCTACTATGATACGTTGGTGCAGTTTTATATAACAACTCTGAGAACTTTCTCGAGCCCTGTCTTCGCGAACGGGGTTCACTTAGCTTATAAGGCACTACCAACAGCTTTCAATTGCTCTAGTGAATATTCATTCTTCCAAAAGACACCTAAAAGAACTAAGTTACTAAACAAACACAACGTAAATAAGGGTCCTAACTAAGACGATCACGCAAAAATATTACAAACGGCCTATTATTAAACCTTTAGAAAGATCAAAACTTGTCTTATTTATCTTGGTCACAAATATATAATTTTATTGAAAAAGGGTAAATTTATTATATATAATTTTTAATTTTTTTTTAATTAAATATTTAATATATTTATTATTATGTGAGAGGGTGGGGGGGAAAGGTTACAGTATGTATGCAGTTTTAAATCGGCATTAGAAGCTCTTCCTCAAGATGGTGATCGCAATTATAAAATTGTTATAAATGCCGATAGGATCAGGAACACCCTGGCTTATAACGTTCCATCCACGAATGAAGTTGTAGTATTGGTCGACCAGGAATGTGGTAGGCGTGATATCGTTATCCGTTCCAGAGACAATCGTTTGCAACGTATTTACGAAACCCACAGGGCTTACGATAGTTTGCAATATCCTTTGATATACTCTCGAGGGGAAGATGATTATAATTTCGCTATATACCAAACTGATCCGCGTACAGGCGCACCTAATTATAATAAAAAGATGTCATGCCTTCAATTTTATTGTTACCACTTGCAAGTGAGACGGAATAGATTTGTATACTTTCAACGTTTTCGTGGCTTATTCAATCAGTTTATTGTTGAGATGTACGCAAAAATTGAAACCGAAAGATTATTTTATATACGATCTAGTCAAAGGCAGCTGCGCGCTGAAGAATACGTGCACCTTCGTGCGACGCCATGCAGCAAGATAATGATACGGTGAATATGGGCCGTTTAGTTATTTTACCCTCTTCTTTTACTGGTGGTCCATGCTACATGCACGAACGTACTCAAGATGATTTTTGTTACGTAGGAAAATATGGACGTCCCGACTTATTTATTATTGTAACTACCAATCCCAAGTGGGATGAAATCACTCGGGAGCTTATTGAGGGTTAAGCACTGCATGACCGCCATAATATTATCGCAAGTTTTTCATTTAAAATTAAAATCAATGATATATCTACTTACCAATGGTAACATTTTTGGAGATGTATTGTGTTATACGTATAGTGTTGAGTGGCATAAACGCGGCTTACCTCACGCACATATCCTGCTTTGGTTAAAAGATAAGGTTCGACCTAATGATGTAGACAGTTCAATCAGTGCTGAAATTCCAGATCCGATTGCAGATCCCGTGTTATACGATTGTCATATGATACATGGTCCATGTGGTGCATTTAACGGGAATGCTCCTTGCATGCAAGACGGTCGTTGCACTAAAAGATATCCAAAAGCATTAGTGGATGAAACTGTAACAGGACATGTTGGATACCCATTATATCGTCGCCGTTCAAGAGACGATGGCGGTTTTACTGTTGAAAAGCTTAATATTTGGTCTCTTGAAACGGATGAACAGCGAGAGGCCCGTCTTACTGCAGACATAGAAGATCAATCTACAAATTCGGTGGCGTGGTCCGACAAATATAAAAGTGCATGCATACAACATGAGGTAAAACTGCTCACACTATGTTTAAAATACCAATTGATTTAGATCGCACGGAAAGTCCAACCTGTAGTATTTCAAGAAATAGCGACAAAGCTAAGGTATTACGTGAGTGTAATTTAATCATATGGGATGAATGTACGATGGCCCACCGAAAAGGAGTAGAAGCGGTAGACAGAACTTTAAGGGATATAAGACAAAATGATCGACCAATGGGCGGTATCACGGTTTTATTTTGTGGTGATTTCCGACAAACCTTACCGGTAATACCACGGCGAACCCGAGCTGATGAGGTTAGGGCTTGCCTAAAAAGCTCTTATTTGTGGCTTGATATACAATCGGTACATTTGACTATAAACATGCGAGTGAGAACTGGAGATAACCCGGATGATCGTCAATACATACACCAAGGAAAACTTATTCTGACGCCTGTGTTATGTTGTATAGTGCAATCCCAACCACATCTTATATCGTCCGTTTACGGTGACGCAACAATTATATTAAATAGGGACAATTCTTGGCTATGCGAAAGATCCATTTTAACTCCTCACAATGGCCAGGCATCTGATATTAATAACAAAATACTGTGGAATATACAGGGGGAAAGCAAATTTTATAGTTCAATAAATAGAATGTTCGATGAGCAAGAAGCCACTAATTAGCCGATAGAATTTTTAAATTCTTTAAATATGTCCGTACTTCCTTCTCATGAAATTTGTTTAAAAATTGGCATTCCGATTATTCTGCTCCAAAATTTAAGACCACCACAACTTTGCAATGGAACTCGGCTAAAAGTAACCCAGTTGCAACAAAATATAATCGAGGCTCAAATTTTAACAGATTGCGCAGGAGAAATCTTTATTACCAGAATTCTCATAATACCAAATAATTTTCCATTCCAATTTAAAAAGAACGCAATTCCCAGTATCAGTGTGTTATGCAATGACAATTAATAAGGCTCAAGGGCAGACTTTTCGTGTTGCTGGAGTAGATCTCGGTGTCAGTTGTTTCTCGCATGGTCAGTTGTACGTCGCTCTTTCCCGGGTTAGCAGTTCTAGAAATCTTTATGTTCACGTGCCGGACGGGTCAACTTTCAACATAGTTTACCCGGAAGCTTTGCGCTGAAGTATTTTTATTCTATAAGTACTTAAGCCTCATGTGAACGTGATCTAAACAATATTACCAATATATTAACTAAATAACACACAAGGAGTTACACTCCATCCAAATCCCAGCGACACTATAACATATATAGGAATGACGTCTTCGCAAAAATTGTTTAGTCTGATTTCCTGTTGACTTACAAAAATGAAAGATCTAAAACGTCTCATATCGTCTCGCGAATCACGTTGTTTTCCCGTCCCCGGGCTCTTAGAATTCAACATCAGACGTTTCAGATCTTCGATTTTGACGACCCTGTTGTAGCTGGCATAAGCAACAGGATCCGCGTACGGGATAAGTCGCGGGCAGAAGCTAGTCTACAATAAAAAGAAGGGATTTATATGTTACGTAATAAAACAAAGTATTACTTAAATATATGT